GAAAAATAAGTAATGCTGTTGTGAACTAGATAATTTCAAATGCCAGTTAAGTTAAATACGAACATTTACTTCCTTCTATAATTCTCTGCCCTCTCAAAAAATGTAGTTGATAGCATCTAAGTGTCTGATTTCTTGAAGGAATAAATAACGGAATTGTAGGATTGGAAGGGGCCTTGAAGTCATTTTTGCCTAGACCATCCCTGACAGTGCGATTTTTTTTTCTAATATGAAAACGTGTGCTAATATTTTGTTCTTGCCAGCAGTGCTTCTTGCACTCTTTTCCCCATCCTAATTGTTGTTTTGTTTATGGGATGTTCCTTGAGTTTAAACTGTCTTTTCGACTTCCTGTTAAAAAGGTTGGTCCATATTTTGGAAAGGGTGGCTGAGAGTATGACAGGAAAAGAAAGCTGACTGTCTCTACTGACTATTGTGTGGAAGAAGAAAAACTTCTTATTTTAATTAGCATATTCAGTAGGTGAATTCTAGTTCTCATTTTGATCATGGCATTGTGATTGACTAGTGAAATCTACTTAAAAGATAATCAGAGAAGCTAGATCTTGCACTGTTGGTAGTGTCTAAAATTCCCCTTTCTTATAATGTATTTTCATAGTTCCAATCACTGTTTATATAAAAATCTAAAGACTATTTTGCTTGCTTACTTTTTTAGTATATATTTTTTTCTTTTCCTGCTGCTTGTTAACCACGTATCTGTCCTGGAATTGGATAGGTGTTTCAGCTTTTTTTAAATTTTTCTAATATTCATGCTGTGTACCTAAGTAGTAGTGTCTTATAGGTAATCTTCAAACTAAAAAGTGTCAAACTAGGTGTAACTTAAACAGATAACCATAAATTAACTTTCAGTAAACCTTATTAGATTTTTTTTGCAATGGTAAAGTTCTTGTTTAGCAATGCTGTAGAAAGACTTGTTTTTAATTTAAAGTTTTAGTGTTCAGACTTATTGCACGTGTTATAAAAACAGAGTGGAGATGTGGAAAACAGCTGGAAAAAATAGTGCATTTGTTATAGATATTTGAGATAAATCCTGTATTGGGATGGAAAGAATTAAATTTGGCAAATACATGGCAAATCTTTACTAGACAGTGAAGATCATGAATGATCACCAGTGGTTGTGCAAGATATGGCTGCACGGTTGGTTAGTGTTCTGTTACATGCGTGTAAACTTAATGCTTTAGGCTACTTTGGATGTTGGGTTCTCTGTATTTGTAAAGCTTCAATTTAAAAAAAAAGTTTTTATAAATGCTGGCTTTAAACTGTGCTCAACTTCACCTGGTAGGATATCTTTGAATTTTATAAAAATGAAAATCCCATCCTACAAATGCTTAAGCTCTGACTGTATGACTAGTTTGACAGTATGGAGCCTCTTTTTATTCAAAATTTATAGTCTAGCGAAGTGGAATAAAATCTGTCACTATTAAACTTATGTCAGTGTTACAAACGCTTAGTATTACAAAATGTTAAGTTCAAAATTGTGACTTTTGTTTTTATACATCTTGCAGCTGTTAACATGATTAAACATTTTAAATAATTACCATCCATGAGCAAAAATGAATTATTACTGTTGTATTCAGTTATTGAAATTCATGTATGGGATCTTGAAGTCATTCAGAAATAAAATACCAAAAATAGATATCTCATGTCAAGCTGTCCTGTTGAAATTTCTAATCTGAGAGTGCCAGAAGAAATGAAAATACTGTGGAAGAAAACAAGTCCTGAGTTTGTAAGCAACAAGTCGGAGGCAGTTTAGTCGAGCAATTGCAAGGGAAGACTGCAGTTGGACAGGGGGTCACCCTTCCTTAGGCAGATCTTCAAAGTACAAGCAGTAAAAGACATATATACTTTCCCGTTACATACATCATCGGCTAACGGTTATCTATTTGTTTATACAAATTCCTTCCAGATGCTTCCTTATCTCAAGGTTCCTGCTTAAGTCAGCATTCCATCCTTATCTTCTAAAGAGAAGCGAAGGCAGCATCTCTTACAACTCTCTGGTGATTAGGGTTAGGGTTAGCTTGTCTTTTGCTCCATTTTCTAACAAATCTGAGATGGCTACGCAGAAATCCCCTTTTTCCCTTTCCCTGCTTCCACAATACTCATTCAAAGTCAGCAGATGCCATAGCAATTAACTGTCCCTACTTTCATTTTTTTATCCCAGAGTGTATACTTGTAACTATCACTATTGAATAGTTCACCAACTGAGTATTTTAACATGACTTTTTAAAAATTGAGGCAGCTGGCTTGCAGTTTAACTATTGTTGGCAAAAAAAACCCCTACTTTTAGTACAAATTAATAGTAAAATGCAGGTGTTCTGCAGTTGTAAGTGGAACGAGCACATGGAGAAATTAGTCATATTTTTAGAAAATAATGTTGTAGTCATAATATGTGTAGAACATAGTTATTTAATTGCAGTTGAATAAATGTTTGTTTTTTCCACTTCAGCAGCTTAAGCAATGAAACATGAACTTCTCTAAACAAAATCTATTGTGACTGGTTTCAATAGTTAATAATTTGGATTAGTCTGAGAAATGTATAGGCAAAGTGTAAAAGTATTTCACCTTATTACTTGAGATGTGCTGCCACCTTTCTGTTTGTATACGGCAGCTGTAAAAGGCTGTTGAAAAAATGTAATCACTTATCCAGTTGCTAGAACAAGGTCCTGTGTGGGTGGATCCCTGTACTTGTACAAAGGTATGCTGAAGTCTGTGGGGTTGCAGGAGTCCATTGTGCAATCTCGTGCATAGATAGTATCTCACCTGTCCTTTCAAATCTCTTGAGTAGATTTAGTATGTGTGCAGAACAGGTGTTCATTACAGCTTTGGTATACTCTCTACTGTAAAGCTTTCCTTATCC